ATGAAGAAAGATGTGGCGGTGTTTGTGTTAAAGTGCCTTACTTGTCAGCAAGTGAAGGCCGAGCATCAGAGGCCAGCGGGTTTGTTACAACCCTTGCCTATAGCCAAGTGGAAATGGGAGCACGTCACGATGGATTTTGTTATGGGTCTTCCGAGGACTCAACGAGATAATGACGCCATTTGGGTGGTAATTGACCAATTGACTAAATCGACGCACTTTATTCTTATATGTGTAAGAGATTCGGTAGATTATCTTGCCGACTTGTATATTCGGGACATAGTGAGGTTGCACGGGGTCCCAGTGTCGATTGTCTCAAATAGAGATCTGCGTTTTACTGCTAGGTTGTGGTAGAGTTTGTAGAGTGCCTTGGGCACTAGATTGACTTTTAGCACGACTTACCATCCTCAGACTGACGGGCAGTTCGAGCGCACTATTCAAATCCTTGAGGATATCCTGCGAGGCTATGTCCTTGACTTTAAGGGGTCGTGGGAGAGACACCTACCCTTAGTGGAGTTTGTCTACAACAACAGTTACCAATCGAGTATTAGCATGGCACCGTTTGAGGCTCTGTATGGCCGACCGTGTAGATCTCCAGTGTGTTGGGCCGAGGTGGGTGACGCACCTTTGTTGGGTCTAGAGTTGGTTCGGGAAACAACAGAGAAAGTGACACTTATCCGTAAGAGGTTGGTTACAGCCTAGAGTCGCCAAAAGAGTTATGCCGACCATAGAAGAAGACCGTTGTCATTTGAGGTGGGTGATCATGTCTTTTTGAAAATATCACCTAGATGGGGTATGATAAGGTTTGGGAAGAGTGGAAAGTTGTCCCCTCGGTTTATTGGTCCTTTTGAGATCTTTGAGCGGATTGGGAACGTTGCCTACCGTTTAGCATTGCCGCCGTAATTTTCCAGAGTGCATGACGTGTTTCATGTTAGCATGCTTTGGAAATATGAGCCGGATCCACCACACGTGCTGGATTGGACTGACTTAGAGGTAGATGAGGATGCTTCGTATGAGGAAAGACCAGTGAGGGTCTTGGATAGATGGGACCAAGTCTTGCGAGGCAGGACGATTCCCTTGGTCAAGGTATTGTGGAAGCATCACGGAATTGAGGAAGCAACTTGGGAATGGGAATTAGAAGCCTGAGAGAAATATCCAAACCTATTTGTTTATGTTTGAGTATATGTTGAAAATCTTGTTTCGTTGATGTATTATAAAAACATTGTGTGTGGTTTGGATTATGAAACATTGTATATGTTGAATGTGTTTTAGAAGTGCAAATGTGTTATAAACATTGAATATGTTTTGGAAAACATGAGATGTATGTGTTGAAGTTAGTTAAATTTCGAAAGAATACATGTTGGTAATGTATGTTGAGCTATATTTTGTAAAATTGTTCTCTTGAGAAGAGATGGATTGACTGGTGGATGGGTCATAGTGATGAAGGTTGAATAGTAATTGTGTTGAAAATTGAATGATCATAATCTTGAAACTTGTGCTAAAATTTCAGGGACGCAATTCTTTAAGGGGGAAAGGTTATAGCGATCCAGGTTTTACTCTGACCTTTATTGTGTTCCGGACTCGGGTTCCGTAGTTGTATGTTGTTGTCTATATCTTATTTCCATCATTTAACTCTTTGTATTTGAGTTTTGGGATGTATTGGGCGAGTTTAAAACAGGTTAGTTATGAGTTGGTGCAAGGGGTTGCTGTCCAAATTTTGGTCTCTTCGGTCGAGCGAGGCTTTTTGCGCTCGAGCGAGCCTTGAGTGTTTGTCTCTTCGCTAGAGCAAGCATTCTTGCGTGCGAGCGTGCGTCTGCGTCTTTGTGAAGACCTGAAGGTTGGTATTCTTCACTCGAGCGAGCCTTGTGTTATGTGTTCCTTCACTCGAGCGAGCATTCTTGCGCTCAACCGTGCGTCTGCGTTGATGGCAGACCTGAAGCTTTGCATTGTGCGATCGAGTGAGGCCTTTTGTTGTGTCTGGTCACTCGAGCGACAACTCCTTCGCTCGAGCGAGCCTCGCGTATATCAGTTCGCAACAGCGTGATTTTATATCACTTTTTGATCTTTTTCTTCTTCAAAACCCTAGATCGACAACTCATCTCTCTAAACTCTCTCTCTCTCTCTCTCTCTATACAAATACACCTTGTTCTAGGGTCTTTCTACCCTACTGTCTTTGTTAAAAAGCTAGAGTTTTGCGTGGGTTCCTTTTGATCCGAAAAAGTTTGGATTCGGAGCATCTTGGGTTTCTCTCTTCTTCTCCTTTGAGCTCTTCCATTTGAGGTAGGGATAATCTACTCTTTAATATGAGCTTTGACATAAATATTAGTCATTTTGTATAAATAGTGGGATTTGGAAAGCTTGGGTGAAGTTAGAGTTTGAGTTTGAAATTGTGAAAGAGGGGCTTTCTATTTTTGGGCTCCATGTGTATGTGAGGTCTTGGAAATGGGGTTGTTTGTGTATAATGGGTGAAATTTGGCCTTGGGTGCAATATTTGAGAAAATAGGCAAAATGCCCTAATTTGAATTATATAAATTATTTGTATAAATGACGAAATCAATGTGGAAATATGAAATTGGGGATAATTGTGATTAAATAGTGTAGTTGGATTGATAAATCACTCACCTATGGAAAAGTTGATTATTTATCTGTTTGATAAATTTATTTATCTGTTTAGAAATAACTGTTCTGGGCTATCGGTGGAGGATAGCCATGATTGTTGTAGAAACTGCATGATGATTAGGTAAATTGAAACTAATCAATTAGATTATGTCATTGAATATGACGGTTGGATTAACACATTGAATATGTGATTTAATTGGTCATTGTATATGACAACGTGTTTAAATACATTGCATATGTATCTTTGTTTGGGAAGAGATATGTGATGTACTCCATTGTTTGGGAGGAGATAGAGGATGTACTCCATTGCTTGGGAGGAGATAGGGGATGGACTCCATTGATAATTAAGTTGGCCGGAGTGTCCAAGGTGAAAATCCCAAAATCTTATATATATTTGGGTGTCGGTTCCCTCAGACGTAGTTCTGTAAAATGGCAATAAAATAGAAGTGTATGAATGATGTTTATGATTGAAGTGTTGATAACATGAGTTGTAGTCTCATTTTGAATTGTTTGGATAAAAATGAACCATGCCAATGAATTGATTTAGATAAATAAATGGAAGTGGATTGCAATATGGATGTCAATGTTGATTGGTTTTGGAAAGGGTGTAAGTCAGTTTACAATTGTTAAACATTTATCGGATGCTAATGTTTTAGTTAATTCTCATATACTGTTTATCATATCTCTACTGAGTTTTGGCTCACCCTACTTGGGACACCATTTTTTACGTACAGGGGACATGCCGCCTCCAAAGACTTAGCTTGGGAGGTTTAGGAGTTGAAGACTCCTTTTTATTATTTTGTTTTGATGTTAAATGTATATTCAAGTCAAGGTATTTGTATGTATAAAGCTAGGACTCTCTTTTGTTGTAACCAAGTTATTACTTGAAAAGATGTAAGCCCGTAAGGCACTCATTTTGCTATTAGAAGTTAGTGTTACATGTGATACCTTTTGTAAAGGAGACTTTGATGAATGAAAATATAATATTTCTCCTATGTTTATGGATTTCATGAATGGTTGACTTCTACTGTATTTTGAGGGCGTTACAATACTCGAAATGAGATGTCTTTAAATGGTGCATAATGTTGGGTTTTAGGTGATGTTGTTAACATCATCGTTTTGGGGGTTACCAGTGACACCAAATACAATGTTGTGCATGTACATAATGTGATAGACGCATGGTGTTTTAGTTAATGTTTGTATGATTGGGTGGGTCTCATGTGATGTTATTATTTGGGGGTTACCAGTGATTGCAAATATGATGTTGTGCATGTATATAATGTAAATTAATGTTGTTATGATTATTCAGATCTCTTGCAATATTAATATTCTTGGGGGCTAGTGGGAAGATAACATCAATAATGTAACACCAAGTAGGTAACATCAACAATCTCCACAATCACTCCATGAAATCCCCAAAAAAATGGAAATGTTAAACCATACCTTACCTATATACACCCAAATCCCAAAAAAACATCAAAACCAAATCTCAAACAAGGACAAATAAGTAAACTTTAATATTACTAAATCAAATCAATAATACATACTACAAATAAAAATGACTAATTGATTTATAAAAAAACATGTAAAACTAAATGGACTAACATTTCCCTAAATGGGATTTATGAGTAATTTTTCCTAAATTTTTAGTCTACATTTTGAAAACTATTTAAATTTTTGTGTGATACAAGTGTGATTATCAAACCAACTTAATTAATTTTTGCACGACCAATTCATTTTTAATGTTGAAAAAACATTAAAACAGAATTCAAGTAAAAATAAAAGCGCAGAGAGAGAGAGAGAGAGGACTTCAATCAATCACATATTAAAAACTAAAGTATTGCTATTCAGGCTCAAAATTAGACTAACTTTCTAAATTCAATAATGTATCACTCTATTAGAATATCTAAGTCAAATCTCTCTCTTAGTCATTCTCCATCAATTATTATCTTGTTGACATATCGAGTCTAAAAAATATGTCTAGATATATTATTTTTATAACAACGGTATATAGAGGTGTACACGAGTCGGTTCGGGTCGGGTTAGACCTGTATCCACTACCGAACCGGAATATTCCGGGTGGATGAAAAATCAACCGTAGTGTCATGACCCGTACCCGCCCCCGTGGGTTAAGAACATAACCGGCCAGTAATCATGAGATTACCTACGGCCTCAAACCAATCCAAACGTATTTTAACAGAGTTAATGGGGGCCAAACGGAAGCAATTTAAAACTTTCTCCATAGAGCTGTGCTTACATGGCACATCATAATAAACCATACATTTGCATATTAATAACTCACAATAAAATATGTACCACACCAGGTTCTGTACATACAGGATCCTAATAGTCTAAGTCAACCCATCAAAACTGTATAAAACAGATGCAAAGTCTTCGCCAACATGACAGAATATAAATACATCACAAAAGGGCAAAGACGGGTCTCGTGCGTGAGACACAAGGGCTGACTCTCCCAAAACCTTCGTTGTTCCACACAGACATCACTGGGGCTGGATCTGGACTTCTGTTGGCTCACCTACAAACACATGAATGAGCGTGAGCGATAGCCCAGTGAATAATATCAAATAAAGGAATTATACAAACGGTACGTAGAACAGCATGCTTCAAACGGCCTTGGGCCCAATTCGTATTTCTGTTTAACATATATATATATACACAATTTAAGTCAAGTAACTGTATTTCCAAACATACTGGCCTTTGGCCTATTTATTTTCCATTTGTCAAACTGGCCTTTGGCCCATTCAGATTTTCATGTCAAACTGGCCTTTGGCCCATTTAACTTTCATTCATGTCAAACTGGCCTCTGGCCCATTCATTCATGTCAAACTGACATCTGGCCCATTCATTCATGTCAAACTGGCCTCTGGCCCATTCATTTATTCATATCAAACATTTGTCCGTAATTCAAACTAGGGAACTTATAAGGCTTATAAGGAAATAAGCAATTGGACAAATGACAGCTTCAAAATATCGATATTACTCACAGTGACCGGTTGGTTGGTTGGCCCTGGAGCTCGACCCTACACATTCCAAGAACACAAAAGGGTCACAAACAATACAATCCGTTCTAAATTCACATTTTCCTCTTTAGGCTCCATTCTTATCTTTTTAACTCAATTACAATGCTCAATGCATGCCTAAGAGTACTTGGAAGTGAAAGAGAACAGAAAATGAAACACAGAATGTCTTTTCAAAATTTCAGAAAACAAGGTCCCCGCTCGAGCGTGGACTTCCCCGCTCGAGCGGACCCATAAGGTCTGCAAAAGTACTGGATGCATCAAAATTACGCTCGAGCGTTAAGTCTGGCGCTCGAGCTAAAGGTCTGTCTACATAGCTCCCCGCTCGAGCGTGAACTTCCCCGCTCGAGCGGACATCCAAGTCTGCAAAAATACCGGGAGCACGAATTTCACGCTCGAGCGGAAGTTTCCCCGCTCGAGCGGACATCAAAATTTTAGAAAACCCAGAATTGTTCTTTGAGCTCAATTCGACCTTCCAATCAACATGTCAAGCATATAATAGCTCAAACTTCAAATATACTTGTGCTAACATGATACAAACACCAAATTATATCATTATAAAGCTCAATTTCATGAATCAAACACTTGCATGTCCCAAATTAACCCAAACTCATCACCAACTCATCAAATTCATGCATTCAAAGCTCCTACTCTTATAAATTGTACGTGCATGTGATATATTACCCTCATTTCAACTCACATGGTGCAAATGGTGATTGTAAACATGAGCTTCAACTAGAAATTTACATGGATCATGTATTTCAAACTCAAACATGCAAATCCCAAACAATTACATACATGCAAGCATACATTAACCTTCAATTCAACATGATCAACTTAATTTCATGATCTAACCCACCATTTAACCTTCAATTCACAAACTCACAATTCAAACTTATGAATTAAGGGTTGATTACACACCTAGGAGCTTTAATTTTTCAAACTTGTGCTTAATTCTTGAGTGTAGCTTCAAGATTACCAAGTTCCTTAGCAAATCTCTACGTAGAGCCTCTTCTCTCACTAAATCCGGCCCCTCTATCTCTCCAGAGCATAATTTCAGAAGTTGAACTCAAAACGAAACAAAAATGAGAGTATAATGGCCTCAATAAGAGCTCTCTTGGTCACATTATTTTAATATAAAATAATTGAGCACTAATTCATCAAATTAATCAATTTAATCTGATCCAAATCAATTTTCAATCAAATTTCACCATAGGCTCTAAAATTATGCCAATCATGATGGCGCAATCAATTTCGGGTTCTGTGGCCGATAAGGCCTTCAATTTAATTTCCGAAGCAGACAATCAAACAGATATTCCTACGGTAAACAAATAGAAATTCAAAACCACATATTTTCACATAATGGCTCACAAAATCATATTAAACACATAATCATGCTCATATTAAGGACCAATTAACATGTTACGGAACAGGGATATCACACGTAGCCAACCGGATTTGTTGTCGAAACCCCCCGTAAATGATTTTCGGTTTAACGGTCGGGTTTGGATTGGTTGGGCGAATTGGGCCTTTAATTTTGGGCCTTTATGAATTAATATTATTTTTAGCCCATTTAACATTCAAACAACCCAATTTTATAATGTAGTTATGTTTTTCTTTGAAAAATGGCCTAAATAGCCCTTTTTACAAATAAGCCCATTAAAAAAAGAAATATAATAATTTATTTAAAACCAGTCCAAACAGCCCGTTATGAATAAAATAAATAACTTGTAAAATAAATCCAAGCATAAACAGTCCAAATTAAAATATTTCATTCATCCAAAATAAAAAATAATTTGGTATACTAAATGAATAACCTGTGTAAAATCATTCCAAAAACAAACAACCAAAGCTCAAAAGTTTCATTTATCCAAAAACATAAAATAAATTGATACTAATCTGAAGCACTAGGAATAGAATCTGTGAATAGGTTGGAAGGTTTGAGTAAAAATTATTAAAACAGTGATGAACCATTAACAAAAAAAATTACAAAATTTTCAAAAAATTGTACCTGGGTTTTGGTTGATCGTTGAGTCGAGAACTTTGAAACATCAATACTTTGAAGTTACAAGGTTTTCTTCATCAATAGCCTTGAATAAAAGAGGGTTTTCATAGTTGATCTTCAATATATAGCGTATTTAGGGTTTGAAATTAAAGATGAGTTCAGATTTATGGGTGAGACCATTAGAGAAACTATGGATGCATTAGGGTTTCAAAGAGAAACAGAGAGAGGATTCGTAAAAGAAAGAGAGAGAGAGAGAGAGAGAGAGAGAGAGAGAGAGAGAGAGAGAGAGATACTCTTTGGTTGTAACCAAGTGTTAACTTGGAAAGCTGTAAGCCCGTAGGGCATTTGCTTTTGTTGTTAACATGTAATACTTTTTGTAATGAAACTCTGAGAAAATGAAAGAATGTGGAACTTTTGAATATCAATGCCTGTATTATTTGTTGGGTTTAATGTTATTATTTTGAGGGCGTTACAGTGGTTGGTGAGATCATCATCATGTTCTGTCTTTTCAGTTCTTTGAGATAGAGAGAGATGTCTATAATGAGAAGAAGGGGAAGAGATAAAAGTGTTGGAAGTTGTGTGTAATCTGTCAAACCAATTAGATAAATACATGTGGCACCATTATCAGAATTCTGCATCATTATTAGTAATATATGGTCGGTTCAGGTTTAGTTATTTTCAATTATATGGAACCAAAAATCAATCAAAAACTGAATTTAAATTTGAAAAAAGCCCGTCTCCAACCGAATTTAAACTCGAAACTGTCCGCGATGTCTTCGGGTTAGTCAGTTCGGGTCGGATTTATCGAATGATTCGGTTGCTTGAACACCCCTAACAGTATATATATTAAAATTCAAATTAAAAAACATACTAAAAGATTATATGTCAAAATATATCATTATGGCCTCATTTGGAGAGTTGGCTATTTTAGTTTTTGACTATTTTAATAGGTTAAAATATTTATATTTGGGAAGAGGGTTGAATTTTTTTGTAATTAAATGTGATGTTTGCGGGAGAAAAAGTGAAATGATTATGGATTTGATGCGATATTTTGTCTTATTAGCTATTTTAACTTATTTTGACTGTTTATGAATTTTAGCCATAAAAAAAAAGAGAGCTTAAATTGGCTTCCCAAACATTTCAAAATTAATTATATTATGACACAAAAATAAAAATAAAATTCTGTATATATATATATCACATTTTTCAAAATTTTATCAGTATAACATTCCTATTTTTTTACCATACTTACCAATTTTTTTTATAAATGTTTGTCTTACCCTCACTAGGGAGGGAAAAAAGAAGAAGAAGAAGAAGAAGGAGGTATAAATTAAAAAATTATAATTTAGTCCAAATGACCAAAATTAATTACACAAAACATGGGATGCAACTGTCTTATAAAAAAACTCACATGCACCCCATCTCTGTGTAATTATTTTTGATCATTTGAATTTATTTGTAATTCCTCCTATAAATAACCATGTTAACCACTACCCAAAATTTGAAATAAGGTTAAAATTATCAAAAGTTTTGTTAAAATTTAGTATTCTAAATAACTTATATAATTAGACTTTTTTATTGATTAAAAAAATTATAGGACATAATAAAATAGAGCAATGCTTACAAAATCATATTTTTTATTTTATATTCTCATTTTTAGAAACAAAATAAAGGGCTCATATCAGTAAATGCATGTAGAATTCACTCACTTGTGTCTAAAAATGAAAATAATAATAATAATAATAAGAAGAAGAAAAAAAAAGGTAATAAAGAGGATTCTATATAATATTTTTTCATAAAATATAAGTGCATGTAACCTCACTATTGACTAATTTTTTCAAGTACAAAATCATATTTTTTATTTTATTTTCTCGTTTTTAAAAACAAAATAAAGGGCTCATATCAGTAAATGCATGTAGAATTCACTCACTTGTGTCTAAAAATGAAAATAATAATAATAATAATAGAAGAAGAAAAAAAAAAGGTAATAAAGAGGATTCTATATAATATTTTTTCATAAAATATAAGTGCATGCAACCTCACTATTGACTAATTTTTTCAAGAGAGAGAGAGACTATTGCTATTCATGTCTAAAAATTATATCCACTTTCTAGACTAAATAATATGACTTTTTGTTAAAATATCTATGGTAATTCTCTTTGTTATTTCAGCAATGATTCAGAATTGTGGTTTTCTAATGGAGCACTAATGATATGGCAAGGAAAAAAAAAAACCCAGGACCAAAACATTACATCACAGTAGGCAGGGTCTACTGTTAGCTCATTAGAGCGGGCTTTAGAGCTCAAGAATTAGAGCTCTAAAGCATTTTTCGGATTCTCTAATCATTAACTAATCTTGTTTACACATTACTGGGTGTAGAGTGTAGAAAGTATGTCTAAAAAGTAGGCTTTTATATCATTTTTCAAAAAAAAAAAAAAAAACTAAGCAAATTATAAACAAGTAGGACAGTCACAAAATAATTACTTTATAGATGTGAATCTTTTCTGGTGTAATTCTAACATATAAGAAATAATTGCATTAAGTACAAGAATGAACTTGACTATACATGCAAAAAAATTACCACAAAAATATAATTATTTCTTCGCCACTTCACTAAATGCAATTTCTAGCACCCAAAAAAAAAAAAGTTTCCTTTTATAAATGGATGATACACTATCTATAGCGATTCTGGTTTAGGACCGACCCATTTTGTGTCTTGGACTCGGGTTTCATGGTTTGGTATTGTTGTGCATGTCACGTTTTCCCCTCTTGAGTTTGAGTTTTGGAGTGTCTTGGATGTATTTGGAACAGGTTAATTGCTCATTTGTCCAAACTGTTGTTGTCTAGAATTTGACCTTCTCGCTCAAGCTAAACTTTTTGTGCTTAAGCGAGCTTTGCGAACTCCTAGTACTTTTGCAGGCCTGCAAAGATACTAGAGAGGTAGTGTTCTTAGCTCGAGGAAGACTTCTTGCGCTCGAGTAACGGTCTTCCGTCTATAAAACTTCTAAGAGTGTGCATTCTGTGCTCGAGCGAAACAATTTATTGTGTCTGGTCGCTCGAGCGAACTACGCGTATATTAGTTCGCAGCAGTACCTTTTTACATCACTTTTTCATATCTTTTTCTCTCAAAACCCTAGATCGACCCTCTCTCTCTCTAAAACCCAACTTCTCTCTAAAAATACACCTAGATCCAAGGATCTCTCTACCCTACTCTCTTTGATAAAAAGATAGAGCACTCTGAGGGCTCTTATTTGATCCGAATAAAGCTTGGTTTGGTGCGTTTGAAGTTCCTCCATTTCTTCCTTGGTCTTCTAAGCTTGAGGTAAGGACTTTCTATACTCTTCTATGAGTTTTAATTTGATTATTTGTTGAAGTGCAAAGGACATTGGTATTTGAGATGATTTTAGATAAACCTAGGGTTTTGGTTTAAAATCGAAAGAGGAGTTTTCAAATGTTCGAGTTTAAATTGGTTATGGGAGTAAATGTGAGGTGGTGTTGTGATAAATTTGTCGATTTTGATATTTGGGATGGATTTTGGAATAAAAGGGAGTCTTGCCCTAAAATAGTTCAAATTGTTATTTTGTATAAACAAATGAAATTGGTATGGGAAGTATGGAATTGGATGAATGTTTATGTAAATGGTGGAGTTAGATATGTATTACCTTCATTTATGAAAATTTTGGATAATTTATTTGTCCTTGAGATTGTATACCGATTTAGAAATATATGTTTTAGGCTATGGGTGGAGGATGGCTATGATTGTTGTAGAAATTACATGAGGATTAGGTGAATTGAAACTATTCTCTTATCTGTTGTCATTGAAAGTGATTGTGTCTTATATACATTGTACATATATGATGTTTGGGAGGAGAAAGGGGATGTACTCTATGTTTGGGAGAAGAAATGAGATGGACTCCATTAAATTAAGTTGGCCTGTGTGTCTTGGGTGAAAGTCCCGAAAATCACGCGTATGCATGGCTGTCGATTCCTGTGGATGAAATTTCTGTAAAATGGCAAATGGAGGTGTTTATGTGACGGCCTTATTGATTTGAGAACCACTAAGTTGTACCCTCAATTTGGTTGTTTGAAATAAAATGAAAATGACATATGAATTAGGACAAAATGAATTGAGATATAAAGTTTGGCATTGCATAGTTTTGTAAAAGAGTTATAATTGATTCATCATGGCATTGTTTATGCATATCATACTTATATCTTCGTTAAGGTTCATATACTATGTTAGATTGTTTCTGCTGGGTTTTGGCTCACCCTATTTAGGAAAACCATTTTCAGGTGCTGGTGATATGTCTCTACCAAGGACTTGACTTCGGAGGACTGTGGAGCTGAAGGCTCAATTTTGTTAGTTTTGTATTTAACTTTTGTACAGCCAATGGGCTTTAAATGTTTTGGATTGAAAGTCCACTTTTGTTGCAACCAAGAATTATCTTGGAAAGATGTAAGCATTTAGGGCATATGAATACTTGTTTAGCTTCCATTTCTTATCACGACTTGTAACATATGCTGTAGATTCAGGATAAACTATTTATGAATGCATAATGCTTGTGTCACCTTTTATATATCAATTCTGATTAATGAAAGTTTATCATTTTAATTATGTCACCTTGTACTAGTTGATCTGAAATTGGATTATTGTAATTATTTCGAGGCGTTACACTATCATATATATATATATATATATTATAAAAAGTAGTGTTTACTCTCAATTTTTCTCTCTCCTATATGACTATAGCGATTCTGGTTTTGACCCATTACTTGTTGTATTCCGGACTCAAGTTGTTATGGTTTTGAATAGTTATTCGTATATTTTTTTTCCCTTGTCTCCCCTCTATTTTTGCTTATCAGGTTGTAATTGTGCGTTTGTGACAGGTTGGTTGCTTATTTTTCAAAACCTGTGTTGCCCAGATTTTGGCCTCTCCGCTCGAGCGGGCATTTATAGCGATCTCAGTTTTCCCTCCATTGGCTATTGTATTCCAGACTCGGTTCCGTAGATGTCGGTTGTTGCATATGTTTCATTTCCGTCCTTTAATTCCTTTTACATGAGTTTTAGGATGTGTCGGGCAGGTTTGAAACTAGTTGGGTGTGTTTTGAAACAAATGGTTGCTGCCCAGATTTTGGTGTCTTCGCTCGAGCGAGGTTTTTGTCGCTCCAGCGAGATCTTTGTTTTAGTTCCTTAGCTCGAGCCAGGGTTCCTTCGCTCAAGCGAGAGTTGGGTGGTGTGTCTTCTGGCTCGAGCGAGAAGTCTTGCGCT